AAATAACGCATTATGACCAACATATTCACCTCCCAGCAAATACTGCTCACTCTTCCATTTGAGTGCCAATGTTTGGTTAAAGATTCAGTCTGAAATAGGAAAGAATTTTTATTCGCTTCCTGGTTCCAGATACTATAACCACAGGCATCAAAATGGTATCAGCATACTTGAACATCTTGGGATGCCTGGGTAATTAGGTGGGTGGTTGTGCGTGATTGCTGGTTTTTAGGTGCAAAGTTAAGTCTTTGAACAGCTAGGTCTTTGCCACTGCTGAACTCTTCCTGCCTTCCATTCCTGAGGACAGGGTTCTGGCTCGGCAGGGCAGCCCGGGCAGCAGCACCACTCACTGCTCTGCCCGGGCTGTGGGAGAGGAGGCCCTGCTGAGGGGAGTGGGTGGCAGTGACGAGTCGTGCCTTGTTGTGGCTGCAAATGCAGGAGGGTGACAGGGCCCAGGCCTTAACCTTGGGTTCACATTTAACATAGGACTGGACTGCAGCTGAAAGACTTCACGATGGGATCCATCTTCAGTTTACTTGTTTTTTACTAACTTCATCCTATATTTATGCTGTTTATAGTATAACAGCCTATTCAATGCTGTTGATTTAATGAAGGGATGTGAAGAGTCAAGCCTGTTTTAATCGTGATTGTAAATATTTATGGGGGTTGACGTGTAAAGGCTTTTCACTTACTTTTGGAGCGTTAGAACGTAATTGAAGTTGTGGACGATATTAAATCTTGTTGATTTTTATCACTCTTTGTTTGCAATTATTTGGAAAAGAACCATCCTTCTGTTGCCAATTAGTTAATATTAAACTTATTTGTTCCAGTAGAGTTACTCACCCATAACTAAGGAGAGCTGTCTGCTGACCCAATCATATTGACATGACATTGCTTCAGATGCATACCAGCAAAATGAGTGTGAGCTTTTTAATGAGTAGCAAAACAGAAATAGTTATCTTGGGAAACTGTCACAAAACATCTTTACCAGAGAAAACAGGAGGATAGCTAATTTTCTAATTCTGTCTGTTTTTCTTTGCAGCTAAGCCTACGAATGTGTTTGAGTATTTTCCTTGTGTAAGGAAGGAGTATTATGTCAGACTTAATAAAAGATGAAAATTATATATTTATTCAGAGAGCTTATAAGCATGATTGGAATATATCATTCCCTGTAGTAACTCTCTATAAAAGGATGAATAAGAACAAATTACAGCTATCCATTTACTGTATAAAACTTTGAGGTGCTTTAGACTGGCTGCTGGCACTAATAAGATAAAACATCCTCCAATGAGGTGTCTCTTCCGGTAAAATGTAGCTGGTTTAAAAGGAAGCACTAAATGATCAGTCTTTAAGGTTAATTGATATAGAGTACCCACTGGTAGCTGTCAAGTACTGTGGCTTGGCAGTTGTTGATGTTTTGTAAGTATATGTTTACTTGTCTTTTATATAAATTCTGGACACGTTTGAATTATTTTGTACACAGGAAAACAATCTGAGTTCATCTCCTTTGAATCCTTTATAGAAATCACATTGGTTTTCATCTGCTCAGCACTCCCCATTGCTCTGAATCTACTTCTTGCTCAGGAACCCAATTCTTAATTGCTTGTTCCCACCTGGATCAGGCTGTAAACGCTTCGGGGATGGGAGTTTGCCGCCCTCGCTCTGCATAAACCTCCATCCCCTCCAGCTTAGATTATACAGGTTTAAAGTAATCACCTCTAGGTGGCAAAAGCTGGCTCGGAAACATAGCTGTGTGCCTTGTAAGCCCAAAAGCAAAACCCCTGTTGTTTTGCTCAGTAAACTTCACTGGCATTCTGCATATTTCACAATCATGTACAGAGCCTCCAAGTTTTTAATGTTCTTTCTTTACACTACTTAATTTTCTCCATCTTTCTGGAGGGACAGTGCAATTAGCAACTGGGGCAGAGAATTACACCTTACAGTCCTGCAAAAACTCATCAGGATATACAGATACTGCTCTCCTAAGATCCAAACACAAGTTACTATGTCCTGTGTAGTCTGCGAAGCATGGATATCTGTCTTAGATCACAGAATTCTTAATTTTGGAAGAGACCTTTAGAGATCGTCTAGTCCAACTCCCCTGCACACGCACGGTCACCTAGAAAGCATTTAATGCCCATTCCTGGGTCCGTCTGCCAAATTTCTCCTTGAAGCTACTCCTTTACAGTGTTAAGAAAGACATGTTAGACATGTCGACTTTCTACCTCCTCTGTATTTCTCTGGGTCCATGCAGGTGAACATGAGTTGTTTCTCAAAGCAAACTGTGAGGAAGCTCACTGGAAATGTTTAGTGGGTGGCAGAGCTCTTTCAAGGAACCCAGCTTATGTTGTGCCAGCAGAAGTCAGGCTGAATCTAGTCTCTAGAACGTAGCTTAAGGTAAGCATTCAGAAAGGAGAAAAACCTGCTGCTTTAAAGTGAGATGCTATCTCTTAGATCTGCATTCCTGGGCTACCTGCCCTTTGAATGGCATCAAACTATCCAGTTCATACCATGGCTTGCTGTAAGCTTTTACGCTTACCCTATGCATAGCCTATAGTGTCATTATTTTTAAAACCCTGCAGGCTCTCTCCAGTCCTGCAGATCTTCACAGCCGCCCTTTCAAACCTCCTCCTTCTGGGTGTCATCATTGCTTGACGACTCTGTTATTTTCTGTTCTGTTTTTAATCCATTTAGTATCTGTGTCATCTTGTGACAATCTGAACATGTGTTAAAGAGCAAACTCCTTTTTCGTGAATTGAAAGGGTGTCATTTCATAGCTGGCAACTCCTGGGGTATCTGCAGCTGGTTTGAGCTGAATGGGGCCATTCCTATTGCTTCTGGGTGTATATCTGTAGAGCTCCCATCCAAAGATCGGAGGAAGAACTTTTACTTGATGCTGTTTGCTCATTTCTGCCCCTTTCAAGATTGTTTCAGGTCAAATTCCTGATTTAAGAATTTTTTTTTTTTTTTGCCATTGCACATATGGTCAGCAAGACATGAGTGTTGTTCCTCACAGCAAGATACCGTCACTAAACGTAGCTATAATTGCCTTCTCCTGTTGCCAAATGACCCGGCAGTTTGTCTCTTTTGATAACGCACTTCCCGCTCTGCAGGAACACTGATTTCCCTGGCACTGCTGGGCGAGTGTGACAGAGCACCACGTAAGTACTCGGAGCTGTTCCCTCCCTCATGGATGCAAAGCCTGGGTGGCAAAGTGCTTTGCTCAAAGCCAGGAGGAGGGAGTTTTGGGCAGAGCTGCTCGAGGACATGCAGAACGGCTGCGTTTCAGCTTTCTGGGCTAGCAGAGGCGAACGAGGGCAGAGCTGGTCCCTTTGGCTCGCTCAGCTGCGCCTGCCCCAGCCCATCAGCCCCTCTGTCCCCAGCGGATCCTTCCCAGCAGAGCAGGGAGCCGGTTACCTGCAGAGCCTCTGGTTCGAGCAAACGTGTAAGCACATGCCTGAACTCCATTGACGTCAGCAAGACTTAAGCATGTTGTTAAAGTTAAATATATGCTTAAAGGGGCTTGCTGAAGTGTGGGTTATGTGGAGACGCTGTCTGCCAGATGTGCTCTCACAGGATTTGGACATCTTCTCAGTGTTGTCACATTTACAAGCAAATGCCAGCAGGAAGCCTGCTGGACACGTATTCTCTAATATGCCCTATGTATTGTGAAGAATTGTGCTTCATGGTGAAGTGATCCAAGTACTCAACTGCGGTACAAATGCAGTCAAATCCTTGCTAGAAAGAGGTGGGTTTGGTGAAAGCAGGATTTGCATGGGCACAAAGGCTAGTATAGCAGGCTTGAAGGTTTTCTAATACACTTGCCTCATACCTGCAACTTAAATGTTTGTGCTAATCTTTAATGCAAATGGGATGTAAGGCTAAAGCCCATCTGGAATTGCCTGTTGACATTTTCAACTATGCTAAATTTGTAGTAGTGTGTTTGAGATCAGCATCTGTTCTGAAGGGCATACTAAAATGCTGAGACTTCATTATCGAGCAGTATATCAGAAGGATTTAAAAAAAAAGTATAATGTTGCGATATATGTTCAAGCTTTTCATAGGAATGTCTGAAAACATTTACTTAACAGCATTTGGAATTGCGGCAAAGCAAAATCATAAATGGCTTGTGTCCAAATAGTTACTTTTTTGTTTCATTTTTTAAGTTGAAGTAACTTGCTCATGAATGTTAAGCGAACTACAAGGTTTTTGGAGCTTCTTGTAATTCCATTGCATTGTTTGTAGAAAGCTTGATGGTAGCGGTCTTTCAGCACTGGGAAAAGCGATGTCAAAAGCTGCTGTGCCAAGTGAATTCCTTTAAAGGGAACCTCCTCAGATTCAATAGAGACCTCCTGGGACCTCCTGACTTTATCCTTGCCAGCAATTCAATGCCCTGGTACCAAACTATGGCATTAGATTTCCTTAAGTACTTGGATGTTTTTCTCTCTTTCGCAGAAAATCACACAGTATTTCCTCTTAAGCTCATGCTGGCTAATCTGTAAAAATGTTAACTTTTGTGGTTCTTGTGTGAAATTGAAGAGGAACTAGCAAAGAGACAGCTGGAACAGGAAAAGGAGTGCTCTGTTTTGTACTCATTCACAGATCTCTCAAGATTAGAATTTTTGAATATTGACTGCCTAGTGAATTTTTATTTGCTTTTTTGGGAAAAGTCTTTAAGGCTGTACTAATGGCTAAGAAAACTGAGGTAGCTGGTGCAGGTTGACAGCTTTCCTCCTCAGCAGCCCCGTGAAAAGGACACTGCTGCAGAAGCATTTCAGGTCTTGGGTCTGCTTCACAGTCCTGCCTGTACCTGTCTGCATGCAGTGGCTGTCCTGCATGAGGTGTCAAAGATAACATTCAATGTCAGGTTTGTTTTAGCAGATACTAGGCGAGTTTTGTTATTTATCAGGTGCTCAAGGATGTTGCAGCTGTACCTGTCTCAGTGACACAACTGTCAATGCAAGTGATAGATTAATGGTTGTGTTGTCATCACGACAAGCTGTGGACATGGGTAGGGCATGCTGCAGAGACAGCATCCAGAGACAGCCTCTTCTGTCTATCTGCAGATCAATTAGTTGCTTCCCCCCTGCTCCTGCCTGGCTACAGATTTGGATAGATTTCCTAGTACTAGATTCAAAATATTCCTTACCACTGTCTGCTTGGAACAAATATGTCGCTGGAGGCAAAGGGCACGAATTCTGAGTTGATTTCTTCTCAATAGAGCCTCCTGTGGATCCGTTACTGAACATCCCTGAGTATTTCCTGGCAGTCATTCTTATTTTGGCAGTAAACTCATTAATGTAAGGTTTTGTTCTGCTTTCCTTCCAGGTGGTAAGAGCTGCCGAGGAAGCTGCTTCTACTCTGGCCAGTTCCATCCACCCGGAGCAGTGCATCAAAGTGCTTTGCCCCATCATTCAAACTGCAGATTACCCAATTAATTTAGCTGCCATCAAAATGCAGACAAAAGTCATCGAGAGGATTTCTAAGGAATCGTTGCATCAGCTCCTTCCTGATATTATTCCTGGATTGTTGCAGGTACAGAATCCCACGTCCCGCAGGCTCCCAAGCACAAAGCATATTTTGTCCTCTGTAATATAAGATGTGTAACATGAGGAAATGAGGGACCCTCTGGGATCAGATTCTAGTAAATTAAAGTTTTAATCCCTACAAGTTTTTAATATCTTTGAGCTTTTGATGTTGTTTTAATGTATTGAGGAGGAGGAGAGAAAAACTCAGATTCCTGTGTTTGTGTTGCACAGTTAAATACCTTGGCCTGGCTCCTAAAGAAGTCAGTAGCAGCCATGCAATAAACTTACTGAGTGGCAATTAGCCACCTCTTGTGCAACGGCAGCACATCTTGCAGTCTGCCTTCATTCTGCTGAGCTGTTCTTCATTTTGATGGTATTTTGCATTTGAATCCCAGCAGGCTGGATAATCCCTCCTCTTTCTCTGAAATCAAGGGACTGAATTTCTGACTTGCATTCAGCCTCTTTCACAACCCTCTCAAACTGGGTGGGGAGCTTTATTTTTGCCAGTGCAAAGGCTCGGTCTTACATTGTGAGCATAGCGTTGGGTGCTGGCTGGGTTGCAGTTGTGTTCAGTTCCCCTGCACGAGCAGCTGGCAGTGTGCGGGCTGGAAGCTAGATGGGAATTAGGTAGCAGCAAGAAGAGAGGAGGCAGAATATGTGTGTGTGTGAGTGTTTATTGGGGAGGGATTATGGCAGGAACAAATAAGTTTGAAGGAGGTGACATGTTTGGGGGGTAAGACTTCACTGGAGAACTGAGATAAAGAAACGTCTTTATAGGAAGCACAAGCCGAAGGACAAGAGCAGAAAGTCGGAAATTCCTCTTGTGCATCCCAGCATTTTTTCGCAACTTTGTAATGTCAGTTCTTGCAATTCCGTTTTTAAATTCCAACATCTGGTGATCAGGCAATTCTGCATTGATCTTCACTTTCATTGTTAAAAGGCTTTAGCTATACTTTTGGGGAATTGGTTCTGGACCATCCTCAGTGTACCAGAAAGGTTCTGGAGCAGTATGCCTTTGAGAAGAGCACAGTTGCATTCATTTTATTAAATTGCTTCTCTAAAGTCTTGCTTTGGAGGCTAGTTTGTGACTTCTAATCTCAAAGTTGCTTGGGGATTGCTTCCATTGCTTAGAAAATCCTAGTGATTATGTGAATCTTCTACTGCTGTTTGTAACGTGCTTCAGACTGTAAGATTTCTGTGCAGAGCAAAACCACCTGTGTAGTTTGCAGTGGTGAGAGAGTACTGGACCAATCAGAAGGTGAGAAGTGTCAGGCCGTGGTAGTGTTTTTACCTATATCCTCTTCTGTTTCTATATTTACTTCTCATGGTGGTGAAAGGCAAACCCAGACTTGACAGCCCCTTGTTTTGCTGCTGTAGTTGGTGTGCTGGTTGTGGCAGTCAGAGTCCCTGGGGCCCGGGGAAAGCCGCAGCCCTCCGTGCCCCTGTGTGGGGCTGCTGTGAGACGAGGCACTGTCCGTGCCTCCCATCACCACGGGCCCCGAATGCTGAGGAGGAAGGATCAAGGATTGCAGGGAGGAGAGGGATGCGAGAGGAGGCCTGGCCACGTTACTTAGGGTTCGAGTGCAGCGCCAGAGCAGAAACAGGCCACTGGGTTGCCCATGCTGGAGCTTTTGCTGGTGTGCAAGTGCTGCAGAAAGAATGAGAAACCCTGGCCCCCCAGGCTGTTTTGACGAGAGTTTCTCGTGACAGTGGCCATTGCTCCCAGGGCGACCTGCAGAGCGGCCGTGGGCACAATTTGCAGTGTGTAACGGGTGCTGGTCCCCAATGGTCCCGGCCTCTCTCACCCAAAAGCCAGGTTCTGGGGACACGGGGCTGTCCTGGTGCAGACTCGGCAGAGCTAGAAGTCACCCTGGGGTGCAGTGGAGGGCTGGAGCCGGTGAATCTGCACTAGGCACTCGCAGCGACAAGAGTCACCTCCTGTGTCGCCTCCTTGGTGCCTGTGGAGCGGAGCCCTGGGGCAGCGCGGCGCCGCGGGGGCGCTGGCAGCGTGAGGCGGCGCCGCCTCTGACTCAGGCTGATGGCTGTGGCCGTGGGGTCGGCGCAGGCTCTCTTGGCCTTGGGTAACTCGTTTGTCCCACGCCCCTGTGACGCATGTGGCAAGCACACGATCTTTTCCAAATGGCACTGGAGCCCTTTCGCTGCTTGAGCTTTGCTGTCTCCCACCGGCATGGGGAAGCAGGGAGAGCTGCTTAATAGGAGACAGTCGAGCAGGCCCTGGCATGACACAGCCCTGCTTTGAGCCTCACGCAGGCGTCGAGTGACCCGCGTGGAGCCGGCTGTCCCCCTGCACGCCCTGCGTCGCGGGCACAGCCCACAGGCTGGGCCCCAGGCAGCCCAACGTCCCCAGGGCCTGTCCCACCAGCCCTGCTGGCAGGGATCACCCTGCGGCCAGAGGAAGCGGCGTCCAGCGTGCCGCAGCCGCTGGGGGGTTTCTCCTGGGATGGCGGCTCAGGGATAAATCGCGGCCTGAGTACGGAGCTGGTGTCAGGAGCCGTCAAGCGAGCTGGCGGTTGCTGTGCAGAGCTCTCAGAGCTCCCTGAGCCCTGGCATGCACCCTGTGCCCTCTTGTGCTCTTGCCCATGGCTGTTGCTGCCCGATAGGTAATCGAGAAGTCTGTGGCTGCGGAAGTCTGTAACGGACCAGCACACATGCATAGCGCTGCTGTGTAATGCTTATGCATGGCCATAAAGAGCTGAAAATCTGTTATAATGATGACTTTTTGTTATTTCTTATACTATTATGCTATTCCATCCAAGGATTGCACTCACAAACCAAAGCTTTAGTTGTATATGCTTAGTGAACTAACCATTAGTTAACCTTTTGCTATAAAATGATTCTCCATCTGTAGCTTTGCTCTCAGGAGTGGTCAGCTTCTAACATGCGAGTTGGTTTCCACTGAGTTGGATTTGGGTCAGCAAAGACTCTTTCCTGAAGACAAACTGGGAGCAGTAGGAAGTATCACCTGGGCATGGAGCAAGAAACATCAGTAGGGCTTGTTGTAAGACTTTAAGTAGTGGATAACCTGGATCATCCTGCTGCTTTTCAGCTTTCAAAGGGCTACATGTTTGTTCAAAATAATTTCCTCAGCAGACTTTCCCTGAAGTCCTGACCGTCCAGTTGTCCAAACTGGAGGCAGAAATGTATGTATTTGATGGAGTCCTAAGCTTCACTGGCTTGCGTTGTGACCCTGTGTTTTTGCCTACTGATATAAATAATAATAAATAACTCTAACAGATAGAATGTATATGGCTCTTACATTAGACAGGACCTTTCTGTTTTTCTGATAAATTTTTAGTTCTGTGGCTGCACTTGCAAAATATTCAGCAGCTCATTAGTATATTGATTTGGAAGGATGTTGGCAAGCACTGTTTGATCTGTGACTTCTTTTCTTGTTTTCCAGGGTTATGATAATACGGAGAGCAGTGTCCGTAAAGCTAGTGTGTTTTGCCTAGTGGCAATTTATTCAGTAATTGGAGAAGAACTGAAACCTCATCTCGCACAGCTCACGGGAAGCAAGGTATGAGAGTGACACCTCTCTGGTATGTTGACAACAGCCAGCCGAACGGCTTGTGCTGCTAGCAGCAAGAGCAGTGGCTTCACTGTGGTTCTGGGTCAAGTTCCCTGCACTCAGTTAAATCTTAATGAGTCAGTCTAGCTCACACTGCTGAATATCACTAGAGCAGCTCAGCACTTGCTCTGCAGCGTGAGCATTTGAAACCCCATGGAGCGAGTGCTGAGGGTGTTCAGGGATCAGTTTCATGACTTATTTAATTCTGTGTAATGCAAGCTGCCACCAGCAAGGCAGTCCTTTGCTGTTCCCCTTCTGTCCATATCTGCCTTGCCTCTTCTGTGCATCCAGAGGTGACAACGCAGTGAATGTTTGAAGCTATATATTAATATAGACATAGTTTTGAAGTTTCTTTTCTGAAGCTGCACAGTTAATCTGACACCTGGAGAGTAAGAGTGAGTGGCTGGCCTTTCCTGTCCGGTAACAGGCCATGATTAGGGCTCACAGAGATGCAGGGAGAACCACTCTAGCTCAAACGGCCCTCCAAAGGCTGCTGTGCCCATCAGTCAGGACAGCAGGAAAACTCAAATTCTGAGCTGATGCTGCAAGTGAAATCAAGTCCTTAACTCGCCTCTGTTCTTCAGACAGGAACTAGAATGTTGCTTTGAAGCTGATGGTGTTTCATTGCTTGTTAAAACCGTTCAAAACTGTCAGTAGATTTTTTTTCTCCTGTTTGGAGTATTAAGGCTGAGGTTTTTCTGTAAATTTAAGATGAATTCTGTGTCATCTCTGAAATAGATCCCTGCATGGGGTTAGTCACTTAGTTCAGAGCTGTTTTCTTGTTTCCAAGTGAGTAATTTATTTTGCAGGTAGGAAGTGTGGTGTAGGTTAAGAGAGAATCTGAGACTCAGCACACTTGGATTTTTATTTCTAAATAGAGTTGTCTTGTCTCTAAACAAATTACTTCAATCTCCTTCTGGAGAGGAAAAAAAAAAAAAGCTATTGATGCTGAGGTTTACTTTGTTTATAATCGAGCAGTTGGGAATCCCCATATTGAAGTGCTGTAGAAACTTTTATTATCCCAGCATCTAGGTGCCACAGATTTGTTGTGCTGCCTAACTAGCTTTAAACATGTGAGTAATTCCTCTCGATTTACGCAGACTGCCTGCATGTTTAAAGTTAAATCTGTGCGTGAGTCACTGCAGGATCTGGAGTGAAGGTGGTAAGGTAGAAAAAAAGCTTATGGAAAGGAAGTATATTGTCATAACAGCTTCACCAGATTTACCATGTTAGTGAAGACTTTTTAAGATGTTTATTTTCTATGATATATTTAAAGGAACAAAGCCTGTCCCACTGGACTTTCCAAGCACGAAGAATTAGGAGTGCTTCCTAGGAAGGACCTTGGTTCTCGGGTTGACAGTGCATGACCAGGATTAATGTCTACGTGCAGCCCCACTGACCTGTGTGGAAATCCTGCTCATCCAAAGCAGACTGCAGGATTGGTGCTCGTGCCCTAACTGACAGCTGCTAAAATGAAGCACTTCACATTTTTCAAATCCCATGAAATCTGACTGTAGTTTCAGTGGGACCTGGATTCTACTCCTGTAGCTTTTGAAATACTGTGCTTTGCTACCATTTTTCAGAGCACCCAGTGTGGTGTCAGCTCATTCAAAATGGTTCCCTACGCAAAACGCATTTAAGATTTTCAGTCAACTTTTGGTCTTACCTTTTGCTGGCATCTTCTGATCTTCTTTTGTCATCTCTTTCAGATGAAGCTACTAAACTTGTACATAAAGAGGGCCCAGACTACCAATAGCAACAGCAGTTCCTCTTCAGATGTTTCAACGCACAGTTAATGAAGATATCTGGACATGTGTAGACTTAGAAGCAATCAACGGTGCCTCTCAGAGACCTTTCTGCTACTCTAACTTCACTGGCGCACTCCATCAGCTTAAGGAGGCCATGCAGATATTTATTGCAATCAGTATTTTAGTCCCTTAAAGCTTTTATGTAGAATCTTATCGGTATTGAATGTAAAGGAAGCAAGGTCTGTGTTGCAGTCTTCATTAAAAAAAGAAAAAAGTGAACAGAAAGCCATACTTAAACATATTTGTATAGCCTGCTGAAATCTCTGAAATATGTTTAGGTTAGTTTTCCAAAACTGAGTCCAACAACGTGGACGTGCATAAAGGTCAGGCGAATCTTGCGTTAGTTGATACCCAGGTTTGGTGTCTTGCGCTAGTTACGTGCTCTCTCCCTGTGGTTGCAGCTCCTCTGGCTGGATTCTTCTCTCCTTGCCAGTCTTGTGGTCCCCTTTTGTACGTCCTCCTTGCAGCCCGCCTAGCTTGCAGGATCCTCCATGGGGAGGTCTTTGCAGCTAGGGCTGGGGTTCCAGCCTCCGATGCTTTTAATACTGAGAGATAGCAAATGAGTAATGGGAAAAGTAGGTTCTTTTTAAACATCCGAGTTTTGTACATAGTTCTGACAGACCTCTGATGGGCTGATTTTTCTGTAACTTCTCTCCAGCCAGCTGTGCTTTGTGAAACAGCTCTTGCTATTTTCATTGACTCTGTAAATACTTGCCCCGCTCCCTGCCTCTTTGGCTCTTTCGTATACTCAAAAGGCACGTCAGGTACCTTGTACCTCCTCGAAGGGAGCCTGAGACACAGTTCTGGGATGGCTGCCTCTGATGCCTGTGATGGCACTGGAGTTTGGTATTGTCTTGGGCTCTGAGTGCACCCATGGGCAGGCAGTCAGGGCCAGCAGGATCGTAGTGCTCTTGCAAGGCAAGCTGTATTTTTAGTGAATCTGTAGCATCAAGGGGCCAATCTGCCACTCTGGGTGGTGAAAGGTCTTGTTCATCTGCGCTACTCCTGTGCCATGGGCAAGCTCTTCATCCCAGGGGACAGAAAGGGAATCTTAAACTGGACAAAGCCCTGTGGAAGTGCCGCTGTGGGGCTGGCTGGGCCGGTGCCGGCTCCCCTCGAGTGCTGTTACCTGCCTTCAGAAACCTCTCCCCAGCCAGCCCTGCGGGTGCTCAGAGTTTCAGGGGGAGCTGCTGGGCCGATCCCCGAGGAGCAAGACAAAATTGGGATCAAAGTGGCAGCAGTCAAATGCCTCAGCACTGTCCTCCACCACCGGGAGACCCTCCTGTCTGTGACCGTAACCCAGAGGAAGCAGGAGGCCCCTCGTGGGACGGCTGCTTCCAGGCCACATCGCGGCTCACGGACAGGCCTGCCGCACTCTGCACGGCTCCGCAGGGGCGTTTGCCCCTCGTGCTGGCAGTGCGAGGGGCTCCCGCAGGCCCCGCGTGCCCTCTGGCTGCTCCCAGTGCCTCGGTCGCCCTGCAGCCCCCTCTCTGTAGGGAGCTGAAGGGGCTTGAGCACTGGTGGCAGCGCTGCTGGGGCCCTCCCGGCCTCCCTTCCCCTCAACCAGCGCGTGGCTTGGCCCGCACCGGCGCAGCCTCCACGGAGCCGCGCTGGGAGGTGCCGGGGCCGCCGAGCCGCAGAGGGTGGCAACCCTTCCCCTGCCACCGAGAACAGCAGAGGCCACCCGCTCCGGAGTCCCTCAGGATGCATCCAGGCTTTTGCTGGCTGTGGGACTAGTTACTTGATTTTTCTGGATAAATAATGCTATGGCAGGAGAAACCCTGTCACCCTGGTGTGGGGCATTCGCTCAGCACCTTTCTGCAGGCTCCATAGAGCCATCCTTACTAAGGGAGGCTGTGATTATATCGGCTGCTCTCTGGTCGGTGTTGCCTTTTCTTTGGACCATTCCTTTACATCATCTTTCAGTACGCTTGCTAGAATATTCTTTTTTTTTTTTTAATGAAATTATTTTAGGTTAACATGAGTTTATTTTCCCTTTTGAGGAAATGTTCAGTTGACATGTTGGCAGCTGTTAGCTGTCTTGTTGGAATTTTTATTTTTATTTTAATTTGTGCTCTAACTGCTCAGTATTTATGCCTCTTTCTCAGCATCCTTTGCCCCGGTCCTGGGGTTCGGAAGGTCGGCCTAGCGACTGGGCAGCGCAGAGCCCCCTCCATCCCCCTTGGCTTTGCTTGGTTTTGAAAGGCACACTGTAGCAAGTCTCCAGGAATTGAATTCCTTTGCAAATGTTTTTTTTATATATTTTATGGAATCCTGTTAGTATGCACTGAAAGTGAACGCACTGTAACTAATGTCCCCGAACTGACCCTAGCGCGTGTGCTGACACTGCTGTAGGAACGAAGAGCTTGTCCTCCAGAAGTACAGGTGGAATCTGCCATTGGCACGTTTAGGGCTGCACACAGTAGAACCAGGCCTTACTTTCTTGATCAGATTCTGTTCTATTTGTCAACAGATGCTCATTAGTGTGTTACTTTATTTCTTTACACGAGTCACTTGAGGACTGTTCATCCTTTGAGTACTCTAGAAGTCTGTTACATCTGTATACAGTAGAGAGCATTCTGCTTAGGTATTTATAAATCATTTGCGTATAATGTACATAGTAAGTTGTTTAGTAGGTTGAACATGACCTGATTAATTTTTTTTTTCCTTTGAAGTACTCAAAGGGCTAGCTCTGAATGTCACCTCTCTGATCTGCAGTGTTCTGGGTTCCCAAAGCTGTACAATCACCTCGTCTTTCCTTTAGCAAGCATAAAGGTCTCTGGCTGCGAGTCAGACGGTGCCTGCACGTTTGCAGAGGAAGATCTGCATGCTGGCAGTGCCTCACCGCCGCGGTGGAGCTTGTGTTCACCTTCTCCCAGCAGTAGTCACCTACTGCAGCTGCCTTTTTATTTCCTTGCTGCCCATTACACAGGGCTTCAATTTTTTTTCGTATCTTTGAGAGAGAGAAGAAAAAAAAAAAAAGAAAAAAAAGAAAAAAAAAAAGAATTTGCCCACCATGCTTAAAAAAGTCTGAATGAGAGAAAACTCTCGCCAGACAGTGGCTCCTGGCTGTAAGGTTGCCGAAATCTCAGATGTGGATGTTTTTTCTGCCATTGGCTGCACCAGTGCTCCGTGGGCATGGGCGAATAACGGATACAGCGGCCCCACAGTCCCACGTACTGTAGTTCTCATGTAGTGCAGAATTATCGAGGCATGTGGCTTTCTTAAGGTACACTATGTGTGCTTGCCTGGATTACAATACAATACAAGACTGTCTTTTTTTATTGCTTACTACTAGCTTACCAGTAACCTGTATAAGTAATGTAACTCGCATCTTTGTCATCGAAACCTTTTCTCCCCACCCCTTTATTTATCAAGCATAATATTACATATTAAGGGACAGAAAAATAGATCTCTGTAGAGTACAGCAGGATGTTGCTAACAATAATGTTTTAAATGGGAAGTAAAAAATGCTCTGAAGAATGCCAGCCATAAGAAATGGTTTTGTTGGCACCGTGTTCATGCGCATGTATTTTTTTCTATTTTTCCGCTTTTGTCATGTTACATCCATATCTGTATTTATATCTTATTTGTTTCACTTTTGAGTGTATCATGGCAATTGTACAGATGTTTTTTGTTAACATTTATGTGATAGAATTTGCTAAAAAAAAATAATAATAATAAAACCTTTTGAGTTTGCCCTAGAGTAACTGAAAAGTTGAGTTTGTTTTCAGGGGATACAGCCCTGCAAGCCCTGTGCTGGATTTGCTCTGGTGATGCTCCTGGCTGCAGGTGAGAGGTGCACGGTAGCGACTTCACTCGGGGTCTTGCAAGTTGCTGACAGTATCAGCAACTGTCCAGCCCCCACTCAGGTCCCCTGACTGAGCCGGGCAGGAGCGCTGCTGAAATCCGCTTTCTCTTTGCCACCCATCCCCTTCCCCGCAGCCCGAGCTGGGGTAAAACCAGGGCACTGCAGCCCCAGGGACTCTGCTGGCGAGAGGAGCTCCTGGTATTCCTGGCGTTTCCTCCCGTGGCTTATTCCTGCCCTGGCTGCTGCATTCCCCACTTGCAAAACCATCACAGGGGCTGGTTTTGACTCTGCCACACATCAGCAATAGCATGGAAGGTCCAGCCTGATGCTACTGTAACCCCTGTGTCTTCCCAGAGTGTTTCCCCTGTTCTGTTTCGCAAGCAGTGCCAGGTCCTTGTGGTTATAAGAAGGGGAAGGAGAATGAGTAAGATGCTGTTTTGTCTATGTCTTATAAAACTCCAGTTGCTGCCTAAGTCAGCCCTGGAGCCCTCAGAGATTTGGGAAAGCTCTGAGCTCTGAGGTGTTGCAAATGTGGTATTAGAGAACCCCAACTAGGGAGCTGGATGTCACTTGCATGTGCTCAAATGGTTGGTCCTTGCACAACCCTTTGTGGGGGCTGAGGGAGGGACATCCCACGTGCAAAAAACAGGCCATTCTTGCCGTTCATGAAAGACTTACGTGGGGTTGTTTGGCATGGCTGGAGGTCTCATTTTCCCTGTAGAGCATCAAGCAGCAAGGAATAGGTTGGAGGAGGCTGTGTTCACTAAATCCATCTCCAAGGAGGACTGATCTCTCCATACTGTGCCAATGACTCACTGAACTGCTGTCCAGAGTGTAAGAAATCAGTATGAGTATTAAGCTGCTGCTGCGGCCTCTAGCTCATCACTTTGCTAAATGCACAGAGCTTCCCTTGAGGATGGGTTTTTTTTCTCCCAGAAATGGCTTGGGACTGCAGGCAAGTGCTGTGGGTCTCTTATCAGGTACCATGCTGGCCTCTTTGGCAAGCGGACAAATGCTGCCTTGGCACAGAGTCCTGGCACATGGTCAGGGATGCCAGCAAAGGCCTCCTGGCTCCACCGCGGCAGGAGACAGCGATGCCGGGGGGTGGTGCTTGCAAGGCAGCAAGGGAAAAACAGCTGGAACATCCTGGAGCTCTCACTTCCAATGAAATACGAGGGCAAAAGAAAATAATCTTTTCATTCACCCTGCTGGCTCTTCCTGCACTCGACTACTGCTGTTCTGGTAGTTATTGAATTTTGGCTTTGTCTCCTGGATATAGACTGCGGCGTGTTGACAAGGGGGCTGGAGTGTTTGTTTATTGAACCATCTTATAGCATACGTCCATTTTAGTTCCTTCATCAGGATGTCTCTTCTTGTCCTAAGCCACTCGATTGCCTCATGGATGGGGAACGAGATTTAACTGTAATTACTATTTGGATCGTTTGCTCTCAGCTTTCTCCCATTGTGGAAGAGCTGAGTTGCTGCCAGCA